ATCCCTGTGCATATGGTAATATGCAGTACTGGTATAATAAAATTCACATAGTACTCCTGGGACCAACCAGTTCTCATGGTGCAATGTATGGGTTTTTGATTACTGGGCTGGGACACCTCCCTTATGAGGAAAGGCTGCAGCGTTTGGGGCTCTTTAGTCTAGAGCAGTGATGGTGAACCTATGGCATGCGTGCCACATCTGGCACACGAAGCCCTTTCTTCTGGGATGCGAGTGAGCGGGCCACCCACCCACCCTTGCGGAAACAAACCTTTTGAAGTGTCTGCAGCTGGGGTTCCCCCTTTCTATTCCTATTCTTGGTCTTTTAGCTTCCTGTCCGTCCCCATGATTCCCCCTTTAACTTCCTATCTGCCCCCATGATTCCCCCTTTAATTTCCTGTACATCCCCATGATTCACCCTGAAACTGCCACTTCCTGTTCCGGTTCTGGTCTTCCAGGTGGCACGGCAGCCACTGGTTTCTTCCCCACCCCCACATTTTGGTCACTCCAGCTGAAAAAGGTTTGCCTCCACTGGTCTAGTGAAAAGGCGCCTGAGGGGGCGGGACATGATTGAAAAGTATAAAATTATGAAGGGGATGGGTAAAGTGGATAGAATAAAGCTTTTCCCCCTCTCAAGCAATCATCCAATTGAGTGTTGGGAGAGTGAGAACAGACAAAAGAAAATACTTATTTACACATCATGCTGTTAGTCTGTGGAACTCCTTGCCGCAGCATGTGGTGATGGTATCTGGCCTATATGCCTTTAAAAAGGGATTGGACAGATTTCTGGAGGAAAAGTCCATCGCAGGTTACAAGCCATGATGGGGATGTATAATCTTAAGGCTTAAAAGGAAGGTTCTTCAAAATGCCAGATGCAGGGGAGGGGTATCAGGAGACAGGTATCTAGTTGTCTTGTGTGCTCCCAGAGGCATCTGGTGGGGCTACTGTGAGATAGAGAATGCTGGACTAGATGGGTCCTTGGCCTGATCCAGCAGGGGTCTTCTTATATTCTTATGTTTTCAGTGGTAAGGGTTAATGGAGGACACAAAATTTGATGAAGAATTATAATGACATATGATGCAAGGAGTACTTAGATGTTTTTCAGAACTGTGTCATATACTTTCCAGAGGTGTATGTGGGATGTCCCTCAGATAATGCTTGAAGGAGTGGTCTGATTGTGTGGTGGTAAGGCTTTTGGACAAGACTTGCCAGGCTGAATAGCCAGGGTTTTTTTCCCATTGTAATGCATCTTCTAACTCGTTCTGACCTGTTGTGCCAATAAGTAGAATGTGACACCTGCATGTTCTGTACCTTCCCACCTCTAACTTGCTTGTGGCGTTTGACTGTGTAGAGCAATTGCAGGACAGCATCTTGTTTTAAACGGAATTATCAGTAATGAAAAGTTGGTGGTTTTTCCCACCTCCCTTAAGTGAGGTTCTCTGTAATGAGTATTATTTCCTGTCTAGAGTTAAAGCTCCCTCTTCTGGAGGAATAGGAATATGGACGATAAATTTCACTGCATGGGCGACATAGGTTGCAGTCTGGTAACGAAGGACTAAGCTATTATGTTACATGTAGTCGTGTATGCTTTGAACTGTCTTTAAGACTGAAGAGCAATCATGGAAAATGCTATAAGGACCATGAGCCTCCCCCATCTATCCTGTAACCTCACAGGCAAGAAGGCAACTGCTTCTCCTGCCATATTGCTGCTCAGGGAAAGAGTTGAGCCTTTGCCTATTTTCCACTCCCAAATACAGCCTTAAGGACTACTTTTTATTTTAAAAAATCAGGAAAGAAAGATACAACAACCTGCAATGTTATTTGCTTGTATTTTACTCAAAATGTCTGGGTCTTTCACAACCATCCTTTTAACTGGCCCCAGAAAAAGTTAGGAAGTATGGTTTCTAGTTTTGATACTTCAACAAAATGTTACAGAGGAATACGCTTACACCTATTAAATATGAGAAACAGAACATAGTATGAATATATTTCTTGCATCTTGGCAGTTGCATTTTCTGACCTAGTTTTGAGTCTGTGAAGTACCTGCTTAACACGTTACCTGCATTCCTCTTTTCTTTCTTCCTTGCTTGTGAGTTGTCTGTTGGTAGACTGCTCTTAGTAAGTAGTGGCCAAAATGCAATGCTTCTTAACCAAGATCCATTGAAATTTAGGGGCCTAAGCAGAAAAAAATTGACCAACATTTTGTTTGGTATATTTAGCCTTCTGTTGCAACCAGCTTTCTTTCCACAGCTCTGCAGCAGTTTCATGAATCTGTTTGTGCTCTGGAAATAGCTGAGTGGCTTTTGGAGCAGTGGTAGTCTGTGGCTGATAATGTTTACAGAAGACTTTAGTATGAAAGGGACTGAGCAAATGTAAGACAGCAATCCTCTCATGAAAATAACATGGCTTTGGGAGTAACGGGCGTTGTGGCTGTAGAACAGAAGCCTATACAAATTGGAAATGAGAGATCTTTTGAGCAGAAAAGTGTGGACAATTCTGAAAATATTTGTCTACCTGCAGGGTAGTGAATTTATTTGAATGTTTTCTACACCACACCATTCTAGATGTCAAGCTTAGTTGCCAAATTCCCTAAGGGTTCCACTAAGAGATAGCTCTGCCAGAGTAAATGAGATTAAAGACCTGTCCTTTTGGGCTCAGTTCTTAATGGCCAGTCTGATCCCTTTAAAGAAGTCCTCCCTTGTAGCTGGTAATTTGCATGAAACACATGGCTTTAGTGTAGTGATTAGAAAGAGATTCTGTGTTCAAAATAGTGCTGCCTGAACTTAGGAAAGAAGGTAATATGTTGAAATTAACATGATTGATATATGGATTTTATGAAATATATCAAGTTATTTCAAAACAGAACCAGTCTAATCCTTGACTCTCAATCAGAATGGAGAAATTTAATATTTCAGTAAGATCAAGCAGCCTTTCTGAGTAGTTCACTGTTTTCTTCTAATAATCACTGAGATAAATAACAAAGTCAAATTTGTAGTTAATATTTTATTTGTGTTTGGGCATAAAAACTTGGACAAAGTAACATTGCAAATAAGTGATGACTGTGCACTGATGGTGCACGAATCAGAACACAATACTATAATAAAATTATGGAACACTAAAAATAGCTGCAAAAATTACTGAAGCACTGCAACAGCATTCTGAAGAACAAGCAGGAAAAGCTCAAGAAATATATCTGACTTTGAACCAAATATATAGAGCCAGCCAACTGCACTGAACATAGGCAAGAATTTTTCACAACAAGAAAAATCTTCAATGATACAAAATGTGCTTCTCTGAAGGAAAAAGAAAGGAGATACAGCAAACTTTCTACTACCAAATGCAAGGGAGATAGGGAAAATTACAGAAAATTGAATGCAGACTTCCAAAGAATAGCAAGGAGAGACAAGAGGGCCTTCTTAAATGAACAAAGAAATAGAGGAAAATAATAGAGAGGGGAAAACCAGAGATCTGTTCAGGAAAATTGGAGATATTAAAGGAACCTTTTGTGCAAAGATGGACATGATAAAGGACAAAAATGGGAGAGACCTAACAGAAGCAGAAGACATCCAGAAGAGGTGGCGAGAATATACAGAGGAATTATACCAGAAAGATTTGGATGTCCTGGACACAGTCTCAAAAACAATTATATTGTAGTCAAAGAGGCAGATAAAGGAGGAGGAAAAGTTGGTGTTATGGGCAAATTGGACTATGTATGAGAGACTGGGACAGTTATCCAGCATAATACTTTACATGCCCTCAGGCACAGACTCAACTGGCAAATACCAAAGGAGCTAGAAGAACAAATGAAACAATTATTCAGAGATGTACATGATCAGACCCAAACTGATATGCTGTAAGGGCTTCAACTAAGCACCTTCTACCTCCTATCTGAAATGCACAAATCAGACTGTCATGGAAGGCCCATTGGTCAAAATTCTATTGCTGATGTAGCATAAATAGCAGCAGTAACTTTTGCCAGTGAATATTCTACAAGTTACAAATCGGCATATACATTTTATTGTGGGCTCAGGATTTAGTGTGCAGTAGGTAAAATCTGCACTAGTTTCGTAACTTGCAGCAAAAGTTCTGCAAAAAGTTATACTGTTAAGTCTATGCTGATGATAGGTTTTGGCCAGTGTATCAATTATTGATACCAACTATCAGGGTGTTTAGGTGTATGGACTTTATTGTCAGATCATATGTCACCAGTTCTCCTAGTTACATAAGAGACACTGCTGACTTCTGAGGAAAACTAGCCTACTTCAGAGTACTACAGTACCTGTATATGCCTAGACATTTTACTTTTCCATGTTCAAAAATAATTGTTAGCAAATAGTTACTTATGGTTACCTTTTAAAATGAATGTTGCAAATTGGAGGCATATGGTATAGAATGTACTCTCTTCCCGTCTGCCTTGTTTTTAGTGGAAGATCAATAACAGAGCACAAGGACTTGTCAGCAGTTGAATCATGTGATACTTCTGTACAGTTTAGTGAGAAAACATCCCTTTACTATAACTGAAAAGTTGCAGTTACATCATGGTGAGAATAGTTATCCTCCTTTACATTACAGCCATACCATATTGTAATTAAACATATGTAATTGGGGAAAGGAGTTGTTTATAGGTAGGTAGCTATTTGTAACTGGTAACATTTGAGCTTTGTCCATAACTAACTGAGGTAACACATTAAATGACATATCTTCAAAATCTGTGAAGTTCAGCTGATCCAAGAAAAACTGTCTGCACAAGATAGTCTAATTTTCCTGCCCCTGATTTGTGCTACCAGATCTCTGGGTCTGTCCCTAATCCCTTGATCTTTAGGAAGATAGTTTCAGAGACCTTTTAGAATAGTGGCTTGATTATTCCATTCATGTGAGCATAGAAACCAGTTTTCTAGTTAGGGTTCAGAGCTAATTGTGCTCTTGCATATGACTGTTGTTTTCATTGTGTGTTTCTGTGAGTGAAACTGATAGGTAACTCACACAAAGTTTCCTTTCTCAAGTTTCAGGAGTCGCAGGCTGGATGCTGTTGGATGTGGTCCGGAGAATGCAAACTCAGAGTCAGGAGGAAAACCATGTTTGGACAGGACACCACTTGAGGTCTGTAAATCTCTTGTTTTATGTTAGTCCTTCTCAGGGATGTCATTAATGTTTGCAGGGTCTTTCAGTGATACTCTGAAAATTTGGTGAGGGTAAGGGAAGGAGCAGATCAGGAAAAATGTATCTGGAGAGAAATAGAAGCAGTAAAAAATAGGTGTAAAACAGGAACAAATGTTTGTCATGGACTTGGGGGATGTTTGGGGGTGCATAGTTAATGCAACTGAGAATCCTAGAGATTATAGGAAACATCTGAGGATTATTTGCACAGAGATGTGGACTTCTATACTGTACTTGAGGTGTAGCTTGCTTAGTTTATAAGAGGTTTCAGCAAAGGAAGGGATACAACATTGCAAGGCAGATATAAGCATTGATTGGAAAGTCAGCTGAAACAACTCAGCATTTTGAAGTATCTGGAAAAATAAAAAGGCATTTGCCAAGAGCGGAGATGACATAAGAAGCCAGGTGAAACTCCTTGGGGAGATTTTTGGGGTGCCGCTGCCAGAAAGACCCCTCTTCCATCTAATTTCAGAAGGTGGGAGTGTCTGTTGAAGGGGCCTCTGACGAAAAAGATGAAGATGTACATGAGAGGCAAAAAACAAAAAACCAACACCACACCCTCTGGCTGAAATCCTCCTGGCATATCTTTATACCACACAAGTAGGGTCAGGACCACTGGTGCCGGTCTGGTGGTGAATTTCAGATATTAAATGCTCCCCCTCTCCATCCTGAGGCTCCCAAAGGCTTCCTCAGCGGCAGCGATGGCAAAATCCACAACGCTATGCGGATTCGTCGTTAAACGGGGCACCCGTTAAGCGAGGCACCACTGTATACAGCCTTGTCATACCCCTTTCCCAATTTTGAATCAATCAGTTGTTTCATATCCAGTTCTAACTGTTCCTTCCTGTCCCACATATAGTTTTCTCAGGAAATTGGATAAGGTGGTCTTTAACAACTTGCCATAGTTTGCTGTAGTCCACACAGTCAAAGGCTTTTGTGTAGTCAATGAAGCAGTAGTAGATTTTTTTCTGGAACTCTCTGGCTTTCTCCGTGATCCAGCGCATGTTAGGAGCTAAAGGTAACTAGGGTATGTAAAGTGGTCACATTGTTTCTGTCCATGAGGTTTGCAAGTCCAAGAGTGCTGTGTGCCATTGGATAGACCACACATGCAACACTGCAACAGAATTCTGGTCACTAGAGAGTGAAAACTTTTAGAAGTGAAGATGTAAACTGTTCAAGTCATTTTTTGATCCTGCAGAGCTTTGAACTGTGGTAACAGGAAGGGGCTGGATTGAGTACTGTATATTGGATTCCCATACAGTAGTTTCCAGGGATTAACCATTACAGTTAAGACCAGTAGCTCTATGAAGGAACAAGGGCCCTGCAAATCAGGAAATGTTTTGAGTGTGACAGTTGTTTTAATTCTTATCTTGCCATATGTAAGAGCTAAGAACTTGCTCCTTTTAAATACAGAAGAAGGTTCCCAGTATGTTGAATTCTACACCTGATTATGACTGTTACAATTTTTTGGTACTTGCATGGAGTTGTACTTGCGTGGAGTTGTACAGCCCTGCCTATGAGTTACTTTTTCCATTGCGTTAGTAGGAACTGTTCTGAATCTGTCTGAATTCTGGGACATTTCCCATTCTTTTAGAAAAAATATAAATTTAGTAACCTCTTTGCAGACTAGGAGCAGAATAGCTATACTATTGTGTGCTTGTTTATTCTGTGCTAGTTGAGGCCCGAAGAAAGGAAAGGGGCCAACAAGCTTGTTGGGGCAACGCCAATACCAGGGCATCTCAGACTTGTTTAAGCAGCTCTCCAGCCCAGCACAAACTATGCTTATTTCCTGTTCCATTAACTTTGTTTTTGGCGCTTTTTAAAGACATGCACACAGAAAATATGAGATCTATTTTGAAGGATGCATAAATGATAGTGGGGAAAATAGAGGAAGGCCAGCAAAGCATTTCAGAAGATTGGAATTAAATAACCAGAATTCTTTCCTGAGATCCATTGTTGTGCCTTTCTCTTCACTATGCTCCAACCTTACTTGGAGTCTTCGTTGTAATTGTCCCGATGTCTCTACAGAGTAAGATTGCTTTTTTGACAGCTCATGCCAAAGTTCCATGGTACAAAAGTCATGTAGGCTTTCTGTTATGACGACAAAGGGCTATCACCGGTATGAAAGGTTCCCCTCTTCTCCATCAAATTTAGAAGCAAACCTTACACAATATAGTACGCTACAGCAGTGAAGTTAAAAGTAGCCAGTATTGCACTTTAATGTAAATGGGAGGATACATAGTCATGTTGGAAAGTTATGTTTAGACAAATGTGGGCAACTTGTGGTATCCCAAATGTCAGAATACAGCTTCCATGATTTCTCAGTGCTGGCTGTGTTAGTTAGGCCTGATGGGAGTTGTAGCCTGTGAGGCCCCCAAGATGGAGGCCATGATAGGAATGCCGTCGCTCCCGAAGAGCACCCATCACACACAGACATCCCCCCCGCCATCCCCACCACGACGGGAAGAGAAAGGTGTGGAGACCCCTGATTGGGGAAAGGAAAGCGTCGGATCCCTTACCCTAAATAAGGGGGTAGACACCCATGACTTGGAGGAGGTCATGAAAGAGTTAAGAATCAGCTGGGAACCGGGGCCAGTGCGGGCGGGAAATAGAGGGGAGGAGATTGAAGCAGGGGTAGGGGATATAAGGGGAAGACCGAGGGCCATTCCGGGCGGTTGGGAATGGGTGTGGATGGAGGACCCCTGGACCCATAAGTGGGAACAGGTCCGGGTTCCTCATGAGGAAGCGGAGAAACACCGGCAGCTAGGATTGAAACCCCGACCTTCTTATTGGGGGGAAACGGAAGCTAAGGAGTGGAGGAGGAAACTCCGGGAAGAAAGAGAAGCCATCGCCAGAGAACTTGAAAGAAAGAAACAATGGCATATCGCCGAGCTGAGGAAGCTGGGGGGTTACCCGGTCCTTGGGGTACAGATGGAGGAGAGGGATCCTCCTGGGATGGCTGGAGCGGCGACGAAGAGACACTACCCTTAATTTCCTTGGAAGAAGCTTTGGACCCTGGACTGGGACCTGTGCCGCCTACAACAGGCCCCTGGAATCCAGAGACTACGAACCCCTTTGTAAATAGTTTGTGGACACCATTGAAGCCCAGTCATGTGTTACAAGAATCCCTGAACCCCTTTGTAGGGGGATACCCAGTTGATGTTAATGTGGAAATAAATACAGAACCTTTTGATTTACCGTCAATGCCTCGTCCGTTTATGGGGGAGAAAACAGCCCTTACAAACGAACCCTCACATAGCCCATCAACATCTGGAAAACCATAAGTATCTTTGAATCCTGGGTTTTTGTCATTATTATTTTTTCAATCCAATCTATGATCGTTCAGGATATATATGTATCAGGAATATGAACTAGAGGTGAATTTTATGAGTAAAGTTTTACACTGAGCTGATAAAGCATGGCAGTTCTAAGCACTCCATATCTTCAAAAGGCAACCAGAAACTTGCGGGGATTGCCTGGGGAGAGGGGAAGATTCTGGCTTCAGAAACAAACACCTGTTTTCTTTTAAGGATTGAATTGTGCTAGGCTGGGGAGACATCAGACTTGAAAACTCAGTTTCTCTATAAAACAGTGCATGCATGGCTAGTGTGGAATACTGATTAACTTATTATGATGGACCCCTCAAAAGTCAGCTAGAAATTTTTCTTGTCTCCTTGTCATAGAATGCAAGATATTGAGGCCTCACTCTTCAGTTATATCACATTCAGTTTGTCATAAAAATATAGTCTGTTATCTAAAAAAAAACAAAGCAAGTTTTCTGACCTTTCAGCTTCTAACAGGCGCTGTGTACTCTGATGAAAATTTGTATTTGAACTGAAGAGAAGGGAACTTTAGACTTTGTTGCTTTGAGTATTCCTAGCACTGGATAAAGTGATGTAAGCCAGCTGTGTTTTAGCGCCTGTATTGTCATGAATGCTTGGAGGTGGATGAAAACAAAAGGAAGAGGGGGGGGCTGGTCTCCATTGTGAACTGTTTTCTTCGCTTTTCAGGTCATCAGACTGAGTGCCATCTTCATGAGGCTTCAAATGGTAACCCAGTCTGGTAAGTATGCCAACCTGCCTGTTACAGATACAGCTTGTCTAGTAGTTCTTTACGTCCTGATTGCTGCACTTCTCCACATATAGCCCATCAATAAGAGAAGCTAAGGCCTTCTCTAGTCTTCTATGACAAGAAGGTGAATAGATGAAACTTGCTTATGCAAGCTCAGATTCTTTCTTTATCTAGCCTAGTGCAGTCTTGACAGTCTTTCACCTCACTTGCTTTCTGATCCGATTTAATGCAGACAAAGTTCTGTTTATGGCTACTTCTGGCCCTCAAACCCTTTATTTTTGCTGTCTCAAATTCTCACCAGAAAAATTGTTTTTAAAATGTGGTTTTCTTCTGCAAATTAGTGCCAGACTGCTAAATCTGAAGAGGAACATTATGGTTAACTACAAGGCTTTTTATCAGCATCAATTGAAGAGAAAGATTTTAGTTCCTACTACCTTCTTCCTGGCATTTCTCCAATGTTTCCTTAAACCTTGATTGGTTATTGTAGAGGATTAAGTATTTTATTGTTTAAGAGCTTAAGAGTTCATTGTTCTATAAGAGGCTTAAGTCTGAAAAACTATTAGAGGACCAAGCGTTTTCCTTGTCTGATGTTGCCTTTTTAAAGTCATTTTGAATAAATACTTAAATAAAGGTAGAAATTAATAAATGTATTCTGTTTTACAAATTATTGTTTAATGAATTAGTTGTAGAAATAATTTTTATTTTCACAGATTGAAAATAATAGTAAAAATCCCTTATCATGGATTAGCATGTACACCTAGGTTTGAGACTGGGAATGTAAATCCACTGTAAAATTAATTTTATGTAAGCAATAATGTTTAGCAATATGAAAATAAGTCTTTAAAATTGCATATGATTATTGCTTTTATTTATCATTTCTACGTATATTATGTACCTCTATAAAATGCATATACTACATACATATTTCCATGTATTTACTTGTTTTTATGAACTACATATTTTATATATTTTAGCAACCATCACTTACATTTAGTTTCCATTACTGCTGAGATACAATAATCTATTTCAAAAGGAGAACATTAGCTAATTAGGTATTTTGGTCTTGCCCTGTTCTGCTTTGGCCATATGCACCTGGGAGTGCAGCCCTGAAGCAGCCAGCTGTTCTGAAAAATAACCCTTGTCCCTGCCACATTCACCCCACCTTTGTTTTAAGTGCAAGATGAACATGGAATGCTTGATGGTGCACTTGATTTTCTTTTTGTCCTTTAAATAAAGAAGAAATCTATTGAATGCTAGTTGTGAGACAGAAGAAAAGCAGGTACCTTCTTCTACTACAGTGGGGTCTCTACTTAAGAACTTAATCCGTATTGGAAGGTGGTTCTCAAGTTGAAAAGTTCTTATGTTGAATCTGCATTTCCCATAGGAATGCATTGAAAACCATTTAATCCGTATCTGCTCTTTTCCGTCCATAGAAACTACAGTGGAACCTCTACTTAAGAACTTAATCCATTTTGGAATGGTGTTCTTAAGTTGAAACATTCTTAAGTTGAAGCATAATTTCCCATAGGAATGGACTGAAAACCAATTAATCCATTCTGGCTGTTTTTTTGTTATGTAGAGGTGCGTTCGTACATTGAAGCATTAGTTCCCATAGGAACTAATGCAAAGCTGGTTCATATGTACTCTGCTACTAGGGGGAGAATTTTTTTTTAACCTAAGATGACCTAAGGTTAAAAAAAGAGCAGGAAAGGTTTTTTTTGCCTGTTCTTATCTTGGATTTCTGTTCTCAAGTAGAAGCAAAATTTAGCAAATGGAGCTGTTCTTAAGTTGGATTGTTCTTAAGTAGGGACGTTCTTAAGTAGAGACCCCACTGTACTCTTATCTGCTGTTAGGTGTCTCTCAAAGCTTGTTGGTAAGTGCAACTTTGTTTGCTGTACACACCAACATTCTCTAAATGTTATTGTGGCAGCAAGATCCTTGGTATTTTAAGTGCCTTACTTTTGAGTTCCAATGCTATAGCTATATCTTGGTTAGTACAGTAATATTTTATATAGAACAGTGGAAGTGATGGGACAATTCCAGGCAGTTTAAGTACAAAAGGATCATAGTTGCCTGACTCAAATTGCTATTTGTTTTATGAGAGTTCATGCATTTCACAGAATATAAGTTCTCAGAGAACTGTGTTCAGGTTTGCAGCCCTCAAGACCCAGCCTGTTCTAATGAGTGAGGCTGCAAAGCCCGTAGCCAGTAGTGGTTTTTATTACGTGTTGACTCAAGGAAATTCATTCCTTGTACAGGAGGAAATAGACAAGAATCTGCTTGCTTAAAATACAGGTATAGCTCCATCCAGCAAAATGTTTCCTGGATTTTTATGCTCTGACCTTGTTTGTACTTTCTGCTATTTCTTACTGTTCATTTAGCATAATTTCTCGTTTTTTGCTCCTTCTGTCCTGATTGACTTTTGTTCTGAACATTGACAGCCACTGTTTTGCAGCACCTGACATGCTGTTTGCTCTAGATACCAGTAGTAGTGGTAGCAGTACTTGATCCTACTACATATGATCCACAGTATTTCCGCTGTTGCATTTAGGAACAGAAGCCAAAGATTGTACAGTGCTGCCTCGCTTAACGGCGATAATCCGTTCCAGGAAAATCGCCATTAAGCAAAAACATCGTAAAGCGAAAAAAACCCCATAGAAACGCATTGAAACCCCTTCAATGGGTTCCAATGGGGTCAAAACTCACCGTCCAGCGAAGATCCTCCATAGGGCAGCCGTTTTCGCTGCCTGTCTTGTGAGGAATCCATCCCAGAAAACAGTGGGCAGCCATTTTGAAACCGCCAATCAGCTGTTTTAAAATCGTTGTTTTGCGAAGAAGCGGTTCCCGAAGCAGGGAACCGAACATCGCAAAGCGAAAAAACCCCATTTAGATCATTGTTTTGCGATCACAATTGCGATCGCAAAAAGATTGTTGTAATGCAGTTTTGTCGTAATGCGGGGCAATCATAAAGCGAGGCACCACTGTATAGTTTACAGCACCAGGAAGATCAACTTTAATTTGTTATCTATAAAGAAGACAGGTGATGTCTCGCTGGTAAGACTGCACGGAATAACATTACAGAATTACATCATTATTCTTATGGTTACAGTTAGACATGCTTTTAATAGGTGACATCAGTTATGCACTTTGCAAGGGCCAATGAAGACCAAAATGCTCAATTACACCTTGATATCTGTTTCCTTGCATGTTGTACAGAGGCCTTCATGGCCAAGCTTGTGCGAAGCCTGTCTGATTTCCAGAGGTATCTGGACACTCTTCTGATCACCAAAATGTTTACAGTATAGGCTGGCAGCAGCTTTTGCACTGCCCTGGGCTGCTTTCCTCTGTACAGAGCAAAAAGTGGAAGCCTTGTTGTAGCTTCATAAACATCTCATCAATTTTGGCTAATTTCCTGTTATAAACTATGCTGACTCTGATGTTTATAATCCTGGAATCTGGAGCAGGCTAGTGGAGATGTAGGTCTTACCTCGAAAAAAAATAAACCTGTGTAGTTCAAGTTCAGGGACATGGTGGTGCTGTGAGTTAAACCACAGAAGCCTCTGTGCTGCAAGGTCGGAAGTCCAGCAGTCGTAAGATCAAATCTACACAATGGAGTGAGCTCCCGTCACTTGTCCCAGCTCCTGCCAACCTAGCAGTTCGAAAGCATGTAAAAATGTGAGTAGATAAATAGATACCACCATGATGGGAAAAGATAACAGCGTTCCGTGTCTAGTTGCGCTGGCCATGTGACCACAGAAACTGTTTAAGGACAAAACGCTGGCTCTACGGCTTGGAAATGAAGATGAGCACTGCCCTCTAGAGTCAGACACGACTGGACTAAATGCAAAGGGGAACCTTTACCTTTAGTTCAAGTTTATCCTAACATGTTCTTGCTGTCTTAAAGAAGAGTTATATTGTATATTGTTTCTATTATATTTTTGTATTTATATCATTTTTATTATAGTTATTCTTCACTGCTCTACTGTCTATTGGATGAAAGGCAGTTTATAAATTTTCAGCTAACTCAGCCTGATGCAATAGTGTTAAACAGCAGCTTTTAGCAGAGTCTATTTCTGTTATTCTAGAAGTGCCTTTAACGTTTGCTTAGCCTTCAAGCTAGAGAGTGGCAGCAGAAGTGCTTTCTTAGGCTGTTTTTGTACCCTGTCACACTTGGGAGCAGTTTGGTTTTAACTAGCATAAATGCACAGCTCCTGCAGCCAGTGTGCATGGTTAATGTCTACTGCTCTCTCCCATGTAGTTCTTCTTGGTAGTGACAGCATAAGATCAATAGCTTCTGCCTAGCCTGTCACTATTGCCTGTAACGTTTTCAGTTTCCATATTGGAAACAGCCTTTCCTAAAGAGCCTAATCAATATGCCGCTCTGAGGCCTGTTCTTATAGCTATATATAATCTAGACACATGCTGTATGTGAGTGTGTGTGTGAGAGAATACACACAACAGTGAGAGAGGATGAGCCAGTCCTCCGCTCTTGCTGGCTGGGATGACACAGCTGTGCTTTTGCTTCTGTTCCTTCTTTTTTACTGCAGCTGCTTTTCCAAGGCTCAGGCCTTCCTCCTGCCTCTGCTTTCTGAACGAATGGCTGCCGTGGGACACAGGCTCCCTGAACATCTTGTGGGAACATCTCTGGGCTGGATAGGGTAGCAGTGACTCTCTCTTCTCTGTGATTTCTGCTCTTGGCAGGTGACCTGTTGTGAAAGTCAAGTGAGAAGAACAATGACGAGCACAGTACCTTCTAAGAAGCCCTACCGCAAAGCTCCTCCACAGCACCGTGAGATTCACCATGAGCTGCCCATCCTGCGTGATGATCAAGATGGTGTGATTTTGGCAGAGCAGAGTCAGGTAACTGAAACCAGGTCAGCTAAGGGCCTTGTCCCACTTCGCCAGCAGAAGGGGTTTAGTTATACGAAGGCAGGGCAGCTCAATCAGCAGGTGGATGGGTATGAGGTTTGCAACGTCAATTTTTCTTCCTGGTCTTTGGAGTCAAGCAGTGACAAAGAGATAACAGGCTGCCGAACAAAACTAAAGCTCAAAAGCCGGACTCTGTCACCTGTACTACTACACAGTGGGAAAACAGGGAGGCGGAATGTAAAACACTGTCGGCATGCTAGCCGCGGGCGGCTCAGCAAGTTCATGAGCCGAAGTGTAGAGACAGTTGTGGTATCTGGAGACGAAGGCCAGAGGCCCACCTGCTCTTTCAAAAGCAGAAGCTTGGAACGTTCCCTTATGTTCAAAGAACCTGCTGAAATTTTAGCACCTAGGAAGTTTCGGGTCCCACCTACCCACTTGCCACTCAAAGGCATCTTGAAGCAGACAGAGGTGTTGGCAGTGCAGCCTGAAAGCCTGCGCAAATCCCGTTCTGTGGAGACCCTGGCCCGGGGCTGCTGCTCACGCAAGTATAGCGATCCTCAACTGTGCTTCAGCCGACACTACAAGCGCACTTTGGAACACGGCAACATTAGTTCTTCTGAAGCTCTTAGAAGAAAAGAGAAGGTTGCTGAAGAGAAGCTTCAGTTCTCCAAATTCCTGGATGAGATCACCCACAGGGTCCTGAGCCCTGTGCACTTGCATTCCTTGGGTGAGGGCAGAGCAGGAGAAGGAAGCCAAGACTCTCCCACTTCTCCTAGGTGTTCTACACCAGAAAGGCAGACGGAAAGCCAGCCAGGAGGCACTAAGAGGATGGCCGAGAAATGCCCTCGTCCTATAAGAAGAAAAGGAGAACGGAAGTATGAGAGCCTTGAAATGATATCGTGCCGCAGGAAACCACCAGAGGAGATGGAGAAGGCTACAAGGCTAAGGAGAAAACCGATCTTGGTGAGGAAGGACAGCAAGGAGAAGTTCCTCTCTATGGAGAATTGGGTGGTGGATTTGTGTCAATATCAGCTGCAGCACTTGGCAGAGCTGGGTTTGGCAAGGGTGTCTTCTGAGCACCAGTAGACATGGAAGACACCTGGTCAGGTGGGAGGGAGGGACAAAGGGTGAGGCCAAAGTGAGCACCCGTTGTGGCACGCATGGCTGCAGTCCCTGGGTTTCACACGTGGCCAAAAGCCAGTGTTGGAGTCAAGCTGCTTGGAGAAAGGGCCCTTCTCCTCTTCCTCATGTTGGAACCAGGAGGAGAGCAGTGTCTGATCTTTAACCTCCCCTTCCTTCACCTTAGCGCTGAACAAGGTAGGTGCTTAGTGAAGAGGCCACTAGGAATAGATGTTTCTGTCAGAGCTCCTCTCTTATCTCTTGTGAGCACTTAGCTAACAGACCTTCCTAATCTCTTGTGGATAGTACCGAAGGGCTTTTACCTTCTTTGTGTTAGCCATTTGTAAAGGAACTGATTTGCAGCCTTCTAGCTCAATCCCCACCTGTCATCTGTATGATATACTTCATTAATATGAAATTAAATACACATTTTCACATTTGCCAAGGAGCCTGGCTAATTTGTTTTGTTTCAGAACTAGAGTCCAGTTTTCTCTGGTTTTGCTTCTTTCAAGCCATTGGTCCCTTTGCTGTATAAGTGTGCCTCAGTTAGAACCACTCTTTTCATATGACTTTCTCAATTTCTCTTCTATACCAGTCTTTATAGTAGCAACCTATATTCCTAAGAGATATCCTGCTTTTTTTGCTTGCTATTTGCCTGCAAGACTCCAGAGCACCAGTATGTTGAATCAAAAAGGGAGTCTTAAGTATCTATTGTAGCTTATTCATTTGCCTAAGGAGCTCAGTAAATGCAAGAGATGCCCTTTCCTAGATTGCAGTTCTTGAGAAAAGCTGCAAACTATTTTCCTTTCAAATGCACAGTAGCACAGTGGTCATTTTTTCTGCTATTTGTTTTATTTCTAGTGTCAGATGTGAGAAGGTGCTGTTAGTTTCATACAGTGGGCTCTTAAAAACTCCACGGAATCTGAGGTAAAGCTTGCTGCATTTAGTTCTAGGTGATGCAGCAGTGGCAGTCAGATATCAGAATAGCTGGGCGCACTAGTAGAAGTCCCCTGGACCTGCCTATTCCTCTTTGCTTTTGCCTTTTCTCCCCTTGACCTGCCCTCTTTGTGACTTCCAAGGGGGTGAATAAGTTGATAATGGCTGGAGGAGGAGCTGCTTGATTGGCAGCTGTCTGTCTGGTAAATAAAGTAGAAATGAGCTGCAGGATTAGCAATAGACAACCATACTCTTTTCATTTAGTGGCCACTTGGACCCAGCACCATGAGCTAGAATAATGATAGTGATAATAAGCCACTGTGGCATAATGTTCAGCTAGGATTGAAAGTCTTGGATTCCAGTCCTCCTTGGGAGAGACCGTATATGTTTTCTTGAGGTTTTTGGAAGTGTTATAGACAAGAAATATAATCAGGATGATAAGTATACAGATTGTTAAACCATGCATGGGAATGGCTTTTTGGATACTGGGAATGGACAAGGAAAGCTTCAAGTTATTAATGTAAAGTGTTGCACTTCTGATGCTTTGTTATAGCTCTCTGCCAAAGCAATGTGAAATTTGTTGGTCTGTCAGATAGGATAGTGATAAGTGGAATGTGAAGCTGATAATCACGGGCTACAGAAGTGAACAAACCAGATGGCTGGCAGAGGCTTTGTCCATGTCTTCTTCAATAAAATTCATATTTGCTATAAAGAAAGTCTTAGGCACTGTTTATATAATCAACCCTGTAATGCAGGCAAGCAGAATCAATTTTGTGCTTGAAAGATACTCTGCAGAATTTAAACTTGATCCAAGCTGCCCGTCTGTCTTGATCCTTGATTCCAAGTGTTTCATTTTTGCCCTGATGTAGAAATCTCTGAGAATTATATGGTGTAGAGGTTTTTTTGTATAAAAATGATGGAAGGCAGTGGTTATATTTTTGGCACATGTATATTTAATTTTGACACTTTGGAAAACTGGTTCATGTCGGTTAAGAGGTTCTTATTTCTGCTGCTTCTGTCTTTTATTTTTATTTATTCCTTTCTTTCCTATAGGAGCCCTTGACAGATGCAGAAAGGATGAAGTAAGTATCCTGGTTCCTCCTTGTTCTCCTCTTGTTTTGCAGACCTTTTGCTTTTTAGGTTATTTCATTTATGCTCGTTCTCCAATCTCGTTCGGTGGCTTTCCATACTGTTAAGGTTCAAAATAGTCCTACTGATAAATGTGCCTAAGTTTGTTGTCATATATAAGATGATGTATTGACAGAAATGGCCACCACAGAATTCTGTTCCCAGACAGATACCAGGGCTAGCGAGGCGGAGTCCCAACTATAGAAGCCTGAAATGAAGCGCTAAATGTTACCCATTCCTTATGGCTATTCTAGCAAGAATGGGAGAAATGAAAGCAACCAACACCAGTAATCTACTTTCAGGTGTTCTTGTTTTGAAATGCCATTATTTGTGTATAGCCTGCTATAGTTGGTTTTACACATTCTGTGAGAGGTGAGTGGGTGAAATATTTTCAGGAAGTATTGTTCTTAATTTAGTGAAAAAATGAGTCAGAGTTAAGTTTTTGACTATCTGGCAGAATTTGTACAAATTTGGAAATGCATGGATAAAGAAACTTCTGGTGTATTGGCTGAAATCTTCTGCATCTTCACATTACATAAAATCATGCCAGTGTAAGCACAATGGGCGTTGCACCCAGGCCATCCAGATTGCACAATCAATCATGCAGCTCCTGTTTTTCACATTTTGCAGCACACATGTAGAAGTGCTTTCTGATTAACCTTTCCACCCTTTCTGCTAACGTTGCCACAGCCTCATGTTGTGCATGTGGAGCTGTGTGAAAGGACTTCAGCCAAAACGTGAGTGTTCCTCCATAGAACATTTCCACTCATTGGCTTGGCAACTGGATCAGTTCTCCTATGTGAGTACTAAAGGTGGTATGGAAATTTGCCAACATTGGACTGATTCTCTTCCATGTAGCCTTGCTTGAATTTCATAGCAGTGCATAAATGATTGAGTGAGTTTCGATTTCCAGTGGATGACACCTGAGCTGGGTAGCTCCATCTGGCTGCTATGTTTCATCCACATAATATACAGTGAGATGGGAGATGAACATGCTGGCATGAACTGGTGGCCTGTCACTGAGAACAGGCTTCCCCGCTTCTGCTCTGGTAGCAGTATGATCAATATGTGGAATTTCCTTTTTCAATTCCTTAACACACTCCTTCCAGCATAGAAAGGGTTTTGAAGCTCATAGATGTATTCAGGCATGATGAAACCCCTTTTCTCCCTGTTTTCTGTGTATACTTTCATATTGATTGTGAGAGAATGCAACTGTTTCTTGTCTTGCTGAGATTCTATGACTTCCCTTTCTTTTTGGCTTGCAACCTATGGGGCCTCTGAAAATATGAATGTACTGGCAAAGTCTAATAGAAGTAGAGCTTAGTTACAAGCATCTGAAACTATTTTGAGCTGGTTAAACCCATATGAAATTTTCAAACAGCATCATGGTTGCCTTTAAAGAAGTTGCTACTGGTGGAGGGGAGATACTCATTCACAAAGTGTTTGCTGGGACCAGTTGCAAAACACCCATTTCACAAAAGAGCAAGCCAATTTGTTGTGTATTGCAAATATAGGAAACCACATTGCAAGCACATAACAAATCAGATTTTCAAAATCCTTTGTTCCCCAAATGGCCCCTTTTCTTTGGGTGACACATCTGCATGCGCTCTGGCCATCATCCTGTCACAGACATAACAGACAGACATAACAAATACACTGCCTTCACTAACTACCAAGATATCTCCTTTCTAGCTTTCCTTATCTCCTTATCTTCTGCTCCCTCTCCAGTTTATTAGGCAATGAAAACCATTTTTCTTGTGTCTGAGTGCTCTGTACAGTACAAAGCTTATTCTTGCAAGCATCCATCATCCACCTCCAAGTCCACTTGGAGCCCAGAGGGCATTGCAGGGAAGTGAAAAAAGTGGCTGAAGTTTAGAATTTCAGTGTAGAATAATACCAGCTGGCTGGGGAAAAACTAAATCTACTCTCTCGGTCTCTGTCTCTCAACAAGGCAGACGTGAAGATAGTGTAACTTTTCTGCAGTAGAATACACAGTACTGTATTTCCTTGTCTAACAGGAATACCTAGAGCAACTAGATTGATTTTTGGTCACCAGTGGATTTGAAATCCCCCCCCCCAGCTTTATAAATGTGATTCTAGAATGTGTAAGGGAGGTTTCAGAAGAGAATTGTTTTTTAATGTAAATGTAAATTTGGACCTTAATTTCTTTGTTTGTATGTATATATGTATGTATGTATGTATGTATGTATGTATGTATGTATGTATGTATTTACTTACTTACTTACTTACTTACTTACTTACTTACTTACTTACTTACTTACTTACTTACTTATTTATTTATTTATTTATTTGATTTATATCCCGCTCATCTGGTCAGATGTGTGGAAATACATTTATAAGAGTATAGATAATAGACAAAGTACAGCTGTTTCATATGTTGTGCTATTTTACTTTAGGGTGTAGGTGAGGAATGTATTAACAGATCCTGAGATTTATGTAGCCACTTTCTCTAGAAGTCCCTTCACTTGACATGGGCCGTCTCAGGAGGCAATCTCATCAAGCAGAACTATTATCTGGGTATATCTCGATATAGCCCTCTTGAGTCTAAAAGTGGATTTTAGAGGTGTGTGTAATCACTGATTGCTAGAGCTCTTCTAGTTCAATTTGGAATCTTTCTGTGTTTGCCTTAGACTGTTGCAGCATGAAAATGAGGAGTTGCGTCGACGCCTGGCCTATGTCACCAACAAAATGGAAGCAATGGAGAAGGAGTTGGAATCTGGCCATGACTATCTGGAGATGGAGTTGGGCCAGAATCGGGAGGAACTAGAGAAATTCAAAGATAAATTCCGTAGGTATGTCAATTTTAAGAATTGTCAAGATAAATTAAGGGAGTTGTTGTTTAGTCGTTAAGTCATGTCCGATTCTTCATGACCCCACGGACCAAAGCATGCCAGGCCCTCCTATCTTCCACTGCCTCCCGGAGTTTGGTCAAATTCATGTTGGTAATTAAGGGAGAGGGGGGCCATAAGGCAGGCCATCTGGGGAGGTATGCCCATTTCCTCCAGAGAATCCCAGATGTAGCTGTTGTACTGGGATTGTTATTTCTAGTGTTGCAAGAAGAATTATGACGTGATCGCTTTATAAGCAGGTACTTGTCACTGCTCTTTAATCATGCAGATTCTGTGTGTAGAGAATAGTTCTATGTGACTTGAGTCTTTAGGTGGTGGAAGGCAGAAACAAAAAATAACATTTGCAAGGTCAAAAGTTTTTTCTTTTCTTTATTCATGACTGATACTACTAACATTGCAAAAACATTGCAAGATACGATAGCTCTATTGAAGGGTCATGCATGAATGTATTGCGAGAGCTTAATGGGTGTAAGCCCCTCAATGTGGAAGCCATTAGGACTTCCACACAATTCTCACAAAGTTTCTGAAGAAACACTTGTAACCTGAACATCTAGGTAGTATTCCCTACTCAGATTACATGCCTTATCTGGGCTCCAGATCATAGAATCTTTATGCATTCAACCGAACATGCTTACTTGTGTGAAGTCAGATTGCCCTCTAGCCAAAGAGAAGGCTTTTGTGATGCCCTTGTCCACTTAACAGCAGTGTCTGGGTAAGTAGGGACAAGGAACAGGTAAAATATAGATGTTTGCAGTGTGAGTAGGTCCAGTCATGTATATATCTTTCGGGTCATATTTGCTTGGTCTTGAACATTAACCTAACATTGCAGAGGCCTACTGGCTGGAATCATGTTTTGCTCCTATTATCTGGAATGTGTAATCTTAGAGGTGGAGTAAGTGTAGATGTGTTGTTTTATTGATGGAGTTTTTTCACTTCATTCTTTGTTGTTAGTGTGGTTTCCTAGATAATCCAGGTTTAGGATTCAAACCAAATTTAGACCCTAACTTCTAGGAATCCTTATTTTAGTAAAGAGATAATGGTGATAGGTGGATTGTGACAATTGTGGTTAAGCATTTCATGGGTGAGGAAAGAAGGTGAAGAAAATGGGGTCTGGAGGAGGGGTGGAATTGGCTTTTGCTAGCAAAAGCCAATTTTTGCTTTTTTACTAGATGCAGGTTTGGAAGTCTTTTCTGAATTGTCTATCACATTCCTTAAGCTCTGTTGCTCCTAGATTGAGGCTGAGACCAGTTTATCCTGCTCTAGTTTGTCAGACTCATAATCACTCCCACATCTCACCTCTTCTCCCTATGCACCTTAAATGTCTTAGGCTTCCTACACAGGAAGTTTAAATATCCGCTGCAAAAGGTGCACAGCAAAAGAAAATTAGGCAGTGCAGAACAGCACCTTCTGTAACATGCCTGTTTTTCCTAACTTCTCTGTCATGGGTCCCTTGTGGTTTTTCAATAATCTGGTCACTCTTTGTTTTGTCTGTAGGTTGCAGAATAGTTATACAGCCTCACAGAGAACCAATCAGGATTTGGAAGAGAAGCTGCACACCTTGGTAACTGACTCGTTGAGCTTCTAACGGGAAGAGTGGGTAGACCAGACTCTGTATGTAGGTGGACTTGAAGGGTCCAGAGTTGCTGTCTGGTTAATTACGGAATACAAATAAGTCAGAATCTGGGATAGAAGCAGTCCTATCAGGGAACTGCCAGGAAGGTGGGATGGGGAGAATCCAGATGTTATGTGTTGTCTGCCACAGAGTTTGAATTTTCCTGCATTGCAGCTATGTGTAGCTTTGCCTTCCATCAGCTTTTTAAAAAATGCTGGAAATGTGACGAGCTGCTTCATCTGCAGGATCTGGGAAAGAGGTTCATCATGGGTTGAAGGCTGCCAAACTGGAGCCAACATCTGTGTATTGTGTGCATTCATAACACTCATGGCTGTTCTTTTCTCTCTCCCCTTCCTCCTTCTCTCTCTCTCTCTCTCTCTCTCTCTCTGTTTCCTTCCTACGCTGACGCTGGCATACGCTGGGTGCGCTCACCTCTCAGGCCTCTCTCAGTCAAAGCTGGATTTTTGCAGTTGCGTCTTTTCGTTTGTGTGTCTTTTCTTTTTCCTCTTCACATATCTCAGTCTGTTCAGTTTCACTGTTTGTCATGCATTCCTTAGCCACACCTTCACTGTTCTAGACAGGGCCCCAAAAGCCTAAATGAGCCAGCAACTTGAGTGTGAATAATATCCACAAGTCCTACGTAACATGTGTTGCTCCATCTAATTTTAAGTAGCCACATAGATGAGAAACAAAGTGCACCTATTAGTGGAAAACTGAAATTAAGGTCTGAAGGGGAATATAGCCCTTTATCACTCTGTTGCTCTCTTTGTAGACCAAGGTGGGCAACTGCCTGAGGTCCCTGTGCTGTCCTTTCCCCCTATCAGACCTTGGAGAGCTGTACCCGTACTTTGTGGAATTCTGAAAATTTCAGATAAGCAGGAGAATTGTAAGCTGGGTTCTCAAAAATGTCTCCTTAACTGAACTTCACAGGATAAGCCGAAGGAATCTGATAACATTCCATTCCAGCATAAATAAATTCTTGATAATTTGAGTAGGGCAATTTCACTCTCATCAACCCATTCACATTCTGTCTAATACAGATCTCCATTCCTCCCACTGAAAGGCATTGGTGGGAATGGTGAAGTGGAGGGGAGAGACACAGGTTCAGCTGTAGCACGCTTACTGAAATTAATTCATGAAATAGGTGTGGAATGATGATCTTGATGCTCTTTATATCTGTGCTAGAACCATTTGTGTAGGATGGATATGAAAGAAGGAAGTCTACTAGAGCCATGACTCCTGGAGCAAGAAGTCTCCAACTTTATGAGAGAAATCCCATTGCTTTGTTACAGCAGTGGAAGACAGTGTAACATTCACTCACTTCCAGCAGCAATTACAGAGTCCCTGCTGGAATTCTTGAGCACTCACCAACCCAGTAAATGCATACACCTCTGAGGATTCTACACAAGCTTTTTAACTGCTGGCTGGAAATAAGTGAATGTTACATTGTTTGTCTTCTGTCTGCATAGCAAAGCAATAGGTTTTCAGCCTATTTATTTTAAATGCTAAATTTAATAAGGGAGGATCACAATGCATACCTTTGCTGATCCATGTGAATTCTACAACTCTGATTGCACCACACAAGAACAGGAATGCACACTGAATGCAAAATCAACACCCTGAAAAATTCAGCTTTCATGAGTTTAGTATTTAAACGTTTGCAAAGAAGACAGATATTTGAATGAGTGAGACAAGCCATATGAGGTTTCAAAGCAGAATTTGTTGTGGGCAGAGTTGTCTTGCCCCTCTGCAGAATAAATTCAGCCAAAGAATTACATTTAATTTTGGTAACTGTTGCAATACTTTTTAAATATATATTTTAAAAAATGATGATACTGTAAAACTTTATACATGACTTAAAATTCTAATTTTCTTAACACCAAGCTCCTAAATTTGACATTGTAGAATCTTTAAAAAAAAAATCAGTATCAAGGGATATGCATAAAGAGGTAAGGATAGAGTGGATGTGATTGGGTCTGGGGCTGCTCTGCCGTGAAGAATTTTCAACCATTGTTGCTATGTTGTCAGATTCCAGTGGCACATTAGATTGCAACAACAAATTGATTAATATGTTTCTCTGGTTTGCCAGCAAATTTCAGAAACAACTCAAAAAGAATCTTTAAGCATTACGTGCTTGTAAGGATGGCATTTAGTAGTTTGCTATTGAAATTTGGTGAAATGCTTTCTCTGAAGATACGGGGCCCACAAAGACCAGGTTGGGTCTACGTGTCACCTGAAGGCCGTGAGTTGCCTTCTTTGGGGGTAGAAGAACAGGGACTGAAGTTCATGGTGTAAGAAACTAAAGCTATGTGAATGTGTAGTCTACCATATTGGAACATTTGGCTTGAATCTTTTATTGGTTTTAGAAATTATGAATGCACTGTTCCAAAATCTTCCCACCCCCAGCTACATTTATTCACTGAACTAGAAACTTGCTCTTTTTTTAAGTGAAAGCTGAGGTTTTTGGAAAGTAGGTGTTATATTACATGCTTAAATAGTGTATTTTATATGAGGTGTAAGTAGAGCTATGTAGGTTGCATGCAGGACACCTTGCACTTACAGTGTCAAAGGAATGATTATTGCTATTTTTACTTGTTAGGTTAGGTGTTAGCAGTTGCTGTGCTTACCAAGAGAAGCTTTGGACAGAAAAAGATATTACTCTATGGGAACTGGGCTAAATATTGTTCCAGTGGTTACTGTTGACATTCCTTGGCTGAATGGGTTCTATAGCTAGCATTGAGATTTCTACAGGTTCAAGTGAAATGTGTGTTAAAAGTTTTCTCAACACAACCAGGGTGCACTTCCCAAACATTTTGTTATATTTTCCCTGCTCTCATTGTCATATCCAACCTTTGATTACTTAAGCGACAGTGTTCATCCTCTGCATGGTTTGCTTGCCTAATAAGTATGAAGAGCAGTTGCACCAGAAAAGTCTCAAATGCATATTGCTTTCATATCTAGTAGATGTGTCTTGTGTCTTCCAAGCAAATGGATGCAGAGTGACTTGGTGCAGTTTTTGAGCCTCTTCTCTCTCCCCTGCGGAAGAGGAAGGGGGAAAGGGGCTGTCAGCTTATTGGACATTGGGTGGAGTATGGTGTTTTTGTTTGGTTTGGTTTGGTTTGGTGGAGGAGGATCAGACAGGAGGACAGTCTGATTGCCGTTTGCTGGTGGGACTTGTCACCTCTATATTCCTGTACTCCAGATTAAAAAAGCAGAAATGGATCGGAAGACTCTTGATTGGGAGATTGTGGAGCTCACTAACAAACTTCTGGATGCCAAAACAACCATCAATAAACTGGAAGAGCTTAATGTGAGTAATTCTTTCTTCTGACCATGTAGCCAGTGCAAAGAAACGAAGTGAAAGAAAAAAATATTGGACATGTTATGGAATCATAGGGTAACCATGTCTGATCCTTCTGCCAAAGCAGGAAATCTACAGTTAACATATCCCTGATATTTTTCAAACTAATCAACAACAGTTAATTGTTTTTAACTGTTTTGGTTTACAATGTTTGATGGAACCCGCCCGGAGTAGACTTTGTCTAAAAGGGCGGGATAGAAATCTAATAAACAAACAAACAGGTGGTAAAGACCAAGCAGGATGTATATCTATTCCTGCTGTTACTACCCAATTCATAAATAGTTCTAACTGATAAAATTTGGATGTAACTAACATCCAAATCATGTTCACGCCCAAGTGTTTTGGCTTGTAGATCTGGCTTGCAGCAGACAAGATGGAGGAGAAATACAGTAAAAGTGAAATCAGGAGGGGGGGATTCTTGAAATTCAGAAAATCTGTAAAAGCTTATAGGGCACCACCCCTGTGGTGCTTTACCATAAATCCCTTTCTCTGTCTACTTGTTGGTTAGGAATGAGCTCATTTTACAAGGCTGGTATAAAAGATTGGCAATGATATGGCCGACAGTGGTCCTGCCATTAACCTATGAAAAGTAGCTGTCTTTAGTTATAGTTTCTGGAGTATTACAGCACTGTAAAGGGAGTAAGTTATTGGTCATCTTTTTATCACCGTGGAGTACCTTTTCTAGTTTTCCTATCTCAGGCCCCAGAACTTTGCAGCCCACCTCTGGATGTGACTCTGCTGTGCCTTGTATTGACAGGAGCGATATCGGCAGGACTGTAACCTGGCAGTGCAGCTCTTGAAGTGCAACAAATCACATTTTCGGAACCACAAATTTGCTGATGTGAGTGGAAAGCATAAGGGAACTGGGAGCTGGTAAATTCCTTTACAGATCTCATCTTTGGGCATGACAGTCTGTTAGGTGCCTGAGAAGAGTTTACAGAATTGCAGCCTCCTGCTGAATCCTCTTTTTCCTCCTGAGCAAACACTCTATAGCTCCTCAGCTTACTGAGTTCTGGCAGAGAAATTCAATAGAAAGTTGTATTTTACTTCAGGGTGCTTCTAACTTGCTAATTTTGAAAGAGTTTCTCCTGCAGCTACAGAAAAAATAAAGAGGCTGCATGGACCAGGAAGGTTTGCAACACTCTGGTGGCTTCAAGACTGCATAAAAAAGCTGGGGTCAGGGGAGAGGGAATATTCTCACCATTGAAATCTAAAATGCATTAATGGTGGCATTATGTAGTGATATGTTTGGTCCTTATATTAAATGTTGTGATGGGACATAGAAAGCAAGGGGAATTCTAAGCTGTGAGGGGCCCAGGCCTCTTTGGGATTTGCCAAAGCCTATTAGGCTTTCAGGTAAGGCGGTCTAATGACTGCATACGTATGTCACTAGAAGGAGGAGTGTTTCATGAGGTTGTTATCCTGAGAGTTTCTTGTAGCAGTCTGTACCACGCAACAAAGCACAGAAGACTTTGGATCAAGTTTCACATCTAAAAATGGGAGTCCAGGCATCTACCATTCTTTCAAATTCATGGATCACTTTATATTGACTATTAGTGGGGGCAGAATGGTATTTTAGGTCCTGAGACGCATATGTACATCCTGCAGCTATTCAGCCTTTAACTATGGGGAGTATTACTCCTCTTGGACTGAACTGTCTTGATGCAGATGCAGTTGTGCCACCTACAACTGTGCCTTCCTTGGTGCACCTGGTTTGGAGTGGTTGAGGTTAGGTGGCATTATCAGGCTGCTTCTCTCTGTGCACTTAGCAAGTACTAGAGTAGCAATTGATCCTTCTTCCAGGGCAGGCTGCCAAGGCACTGGCCTATAAACACTACATGGTTCCTGGATGCTGCTGAGCCTAGTAGTGGGGGTTAGTCACTCAATCCAATGCAGCCACAAGCTAATTTTTCCAGCAATCAATAGCATTGTATTGGTCCAACATGTGGTAGCAAAGATGCTTAAGTTAGTGTGTGTGCATCTCTCCATCTCTTCAGAATCTGTCTTGTTTGACAGGCCAGGATCCAAGGAGGAACGATTTTTTTCAGTTATTAAGCCCAAAAATAGAAAATACAGTGGTGCCTCGCAAGACGAATTTAATTCGTTCCGTGGTTAATGTTGTCTTGCAAAAAAAAATGTCTTGCAAAACGTGTTTTCCCATAGGAATGCACTGAAATCTAATTAATGTGTTCCTATGGGCAAAAAAAGTCAGAACAAAGTCAAATTTGGTTTACAAAGGGTTTATTAAGTGCTCTTTGAAGCCATACATATTGTGATGTTTTTAAACATCATAGAAAAACATTTAAAAATCAGCAAACATGAGGCAGGAACAAAAAATGGAAAACATTCATCTTGTGAAGCATGGCCATAGGAACATTTGTCTTGCGAGTCATCAAACACCCCCCCCATTGCCAAAACCATTTGTCTTGCGAGTTCTTTGTCCTGCGAGGCATTTGTCTTGCGAGGCACCACTGTGCGTGAATACTGTAGGTGCCTGCTGATTTTAAAGGCTCTTTAAATGCATAGTTTGTCAGCTTATGGAATTTGCTTGAGGCAGCAGTGTTTTCCACATACTGTTTCATGCATCTGCTGTACCCTATGAGCACTGCTGTTTTCCACTTCAATATCTTAGTCTTAGTGTAACTGCCATGCTTCCTGTTTTCTCTATAGCTTCCCTATGAACTGCAAGACATGGTTAACAAGCACCTACACAGCACTCAGGAGTCTCCAAGTCCTGGGCAGGAGCTCCCTCATACCTTGGCTCCATCTGATGTTGTGCCCACCTCAGTGATTGCTAGAGTTTTGGAGAAGCCAGAGTCATTGGTGCTAAACTCAGCCAAGTCTAGCAGCGGCAGTTGCCCCATGGCGGAAGATGTGTTTGTTCATGTTGATATGAGTGGGGCACTGCCTGACGCTTGTTCAAGTACAGGACAGCCTGGAAGTGAGGTGTCGGAAGGAGCGAAGCAACAGAATGGGACCTGCAAGCCCCAGAGCTGCTTAGAGAGCCTGCCTGGTGATGTGCCCACCTTTGAGAAATTAAGTCCCTATCCTGCTCCACCCCCTCCCCATCCCATGTACCCAGGACGCAAGGTGATTGAGTTTTCGGAGGATAAGGTAAGGATCCCAAAGAACAGCCCTCTGCCTAACTGTACTTATGCCACACGGCAGGCAATCTCCTTAAGTCTGGTCCAAGGGGAAGATGAGAGCAGTGACAGGCAGTGCACCCTTCCGAGCAGTCCAGCTTCAGAAGGCCAACGCTCAGCCTCCAGTTGTTCTTACCAGCCCTCTCCCAAGGTGAGCCGAGCTCATGGCTCCACACACAGCAGCCCCTTCAGCAGCCCGCCCCAGGTTCCCAGCACATTTGCTAGCTCTGCCAGCTCTGAGGAGGATTTGCTAGCTAACTGGCAGCGGATGTTTGTGGACAAGGCTCCCCCCACTACAGAGCGGGTATTGGTGAATCGCACATCCTTTAGCCGTGACACAGCCCAGGAGCTCCAGAAACGTTTCAGCCGCTCCATGCAAGAGCTGGGCCGGGCAGCTTCTGCCTACTCAGATGGTGAGGAGTCAGTGCAGAGCTGCAGTTGGACTGTGAGCAGAGAATCAAGCATGGACACAGACAGCACAGAATCCCGGGCCCGCCGAAGTCACTTCTCTTCTGATTATGGTACAGATTTCTCCCAGGATGAAGCCCGCAAATTGCTGCAAGGAGGTGGCCAGGAGGGGTGTGTGGATCCTACTAGTTCTTCCCCAGAGAAGCACAAAGACTACGTAGACCTAGATTCATTGGGCAGCCCTGCTGAAGAACAGGAAATGCTGTTGCAGGGAAGTAAGGAGAGCAGCCAAGGGGGGATTTCGGAACAGAGCACAGAAGGCAAGAACAAGCCTTCTGGCCGCCCACATCGCAGCCCCAAGAGAATGGGTGTTCATCACCTCCATCGGAAGGACAGCCTGACACAGGCTCAGGAGCAAGGCAACTTGCTGAATTGAGGGTAGGGAGGAAGAGAGCATCTTGGCTGCCTAGATACATTGTCATGTTCAGTTTTGTTCCCAAGGGCTGCACTTCTAATTCTGAGGTCCAAAGGAGGACCATTGTGGTACTCCTTGCCAGGAATTCCAGGCCATTTAAAAATATTTATTGTATTTTTTATTACACACGAAGAGTAGAAACAGCTCTTCTATAGCACCTGATAAAACACTCGGATGTACACCAGCACACTGCATTTGTGCTAGTGTTCACAGCTCAGTTTGCACTCATTCCCATTCTTTCAAAGTTTAGTTCTGCCTTCACATTGCTGTTCCTTGCTGCTAATATTACATCCCATTGTTGATTTTTGACTTTTGATCCAGAACACTTCAAGTTTGTATCCCTACATTTTCAATTTGTGCCAAGAAATAGGTACCTGCTGTTCCTATTTTTCTTGTCTAAACCTTTTAGCAACCTACCATGTGAAGTCCGTGAGAGAGGCATGAAGGCTTCCATTGGTGCGCATCCCTGGTATGCAAGCTTTGTTTTTATTTTGCTGAATTAGTTTTTTCCCCTCACACACCTATTATGTCGATATGCTTAAGTGTGAACAGGTTGGACAATGGTCAGAGGTCACTCTTACAGTTTTCTTGGCTTCTAAGTCACAATCCAGTCATAGTGTTTGTTTGGAAGGATTCTGGACTCTGAATCTAGGATTCCTTCTGACAAGCTGGGCCTGAAAGGTTCCTGTCACCCAGCAATATGGAGCTGAACTGTTTGTGATAATGGACTGGGTTAGTGTGCCTGTCTCTGTAACTGTCACATCAGTTCTCACTTGGATGGTTTGTATCTCATTATCAGTGTTGTCAGACTATGTATGCTCTTACTTTCTGTTAGGTCTTTGGCTTCTAAAATGTGCTGATGTCTCCTTTTGTAAATGAGCGAAAAAAAACCCACACAGACACACATGAGAGTACCCAATTCTTCCAAGACTCATCTTCTTCCTCATTGTTAGTGTTGCACAATATCCAGTCCACAGATTTCCTTCACCAGCTGGGGAAGAGATTCTTATTGGTTAAACATGAATGATGCAGCCATCTTGCCCTTGATGGCTGCCCTTGGCAAAAAAATATGCCTGTTCTCTGTTTGTTGCCCCCGAGAGACGGCAGATGAGGAAGAGTGTTCCTATTTTGGTCGGGGTCCACATTGATACTAGTGCCTTTCAGAGGCCTTATCCAGGGTCTGAGATTCCCCCTTCCCTCCTTGTTTTGTCTTTTATGAGTGTTCAGTGTTTTTTGTTTTTGTTGTTGCAATATGTTTCTGTGTTTCATGTATGTATGCACGCTTCTGGGACAGAGTTTGAGGGTGGGAAAAGGTTCACAGTGTTAGGAATTGTTCACAGAAAGATCATGCTCCTACATCTTAATTTCTTTGTGTGCTGTACTCTCTTGGTGCATTCAGTGAAAAGTCTGTTGGTTGTTTTTGCTTGAATGAGTCTGTGTGATCTTCTGCCAGAGAGTTACCCTAAAGCCTTTCTTCTCAGCACAGGGAATCTCTTCCCTTCTGAACACCAGCAAAGCAGCCAAAAGCTGCCAAAATAAAATAAAATCCTAGTCATAAGCTCTGCAGGACCAACAACTTACCCTAAACCTACCAATAGCCACTGGTTAACCATTATGTTGTGTTGACTTGCCAATCTGCCATCTACAGGATTTGCGCTGTCCTGTGCTGCCTCCCTTCAAATCCACCATGGTCTCCTATGTGTTAGAGGCTTGGACAATTCAGCCATAACTGACTTTGGTCTTATTAATTAGCCCCCTTTTATTTGGCTGCTAGCTACTGCATTTTAGTATTGTGGCTTGATTCATTATTTGATTCGACTGTGTTAACAAATTGGTGCTACAGACGGAGACCTTTCCTTTTGTCGACATGACGCTTTATCCCTTGGTAATCTACCTTATATGGCTGGCAATTGGTTGCTTTGCTCCTCCCCTCTCCTACAGCAGTATTTGATTACTTGGGACTTTTCCTCTATGAAGGGCAGAATTCAGGTTGCCATTTTGTCCTTGATAGGCCCTGCAGTGTCCTCTCTTTCCCTTTAGGAGTGCCAGAAATAGGAAGACTTCAGGGCTGCTTCAGAAATTCATATGCAGTAGTATTGGACAGACATAGTGCAGGTTGGAACCTGGGCTTTTGGCTGCTAGGCTAAAACAAAAGTTGATTTTAGCATATCTCTGCAAGGTGGGAACGCGAGTCCTGACCCCAGTTCTCCCTTCTTGCTGTGTACCACCACACTTAAGGCATTTGATAACTGAACCAGTTCATAACCACCAGACAAAAGAGAACCAATTTAATACAGGGTTGACACTATGATTTCCCTTTTGCCTTGAATTGTGTTGGCGCAGAGGGAGAAAGGGCAAGATCATTGCTGGGTGCATCTGAGTAGTGCCAGTTCATATGAGATTGGGTGCGGGCACATACGACAAGAGGATTATGGAGACAAAGATGTGTGTCCAGAAGTAACCTTCCTCCCAGAGCTCCTTTTGCACAGGCCGGCATCCTAGCCCTTTGTATCTTGCTCATCTTTGGCAGTATTAATTATCTTGGGCAGTGTGACTTGCCTTCTTCAGCTGCCCCTCATTTTACAATGTCCCAACTACTCAAGACTGTTAACCTGCAACTAATGTGTTTTTCTGAGATTTTCAAACTGATGATGTATATTTTAAAGCCAGAAATAAACTATTTTAAAAGTATGTCTTTGTGTTGGTCTGTTTCGTGGATAGGAAACAAGCTGGGCGCAGGAAACCATAGAGGCTGAAAGGTGGTAAGGGTTTTCAACCCACTGACCTTCCTTTTCAAGGCTGCATGCAGAGGCCTTTTCCATCATCTACTACCTGAACTTTTTAACCAGATATTGAATTTGGGACCTTTTGCATGGAAAATGTGTGCTATATCACTGATCTACATCTCCCTCCCTCTAGAGATACACCAAATCTTAATCTGGCTTCTTTCCATTAGGCTGGTTTTTGCATTGCCATGTTGCTTCTGGAACTGTTACTGAAACGTATTTTAACTAACTCTTTTAGGGAAAAGTGGCATTAGGAAGCAACCTCTTGGTTTAGAATGAAATAGAAACAATTCTACTTTTTCACTTCTTGGATGGAGATAGTTGAAATATGTAAGTTGATTTCAAGCTCCTCCTCAGCTAGCCATTTGGAATTTATGGCCCTTCTCTTAAAAGGACAGTCAGGCAATCTACCACCACCACCCGTCCCCCTTTTGTTCTGCCTCTTTGAAACTCAACATTTTCTTTTTGCAGGGGAGGAGACAATACCCAGGGGCATAGTCTGCTTCTCACAGAGTTGGGATTAGGAATTTAGTTACACCATCAAGAACAGTCAATTTAGGCCAGATTAAAGCCAAATAAATAGTTTTACCTGGTGGATGCTTTCTTTATCATGCAGTACTGCTTGTTTGATGTGCAGAGTCCATGGTGTCATGTTGGTCTTCAGTTGATGCCCTGATCGGCCATGACCAGGCAGCCTTTTCCTGATTTTTCCTGAACTGTAAGATACCATAGAACGGCTGAAACCAGCTTGTGTATTGCAGCTATCACCATCTAAGAAGCGAACCTGGCCTCAACATCATTGGCCATGTGAATTTGGGATATTAATAATAGCATATACTGTAAGTTTGGAACTACCCAAAATAACTTGATGCACCGCTTTGCAAAAGATGATTTATCATTTAAAGCTTGCAGTAGGGCTTCTCCATATGTGTTTGGCCTAGAGCTTCCATCAGCTACTGCTAGTATAACCAATGGTCAGGAAAGATGGAGGTATAGTCCAAAACATCTGGAGGTTTGCTAACCAGAGCTTTAAGAAAGGTTCCTGTACATGTCCTCCAAATCAAATGGGAAGGGATTGTCAGTCTTCATTGGAAATGCTGGAACACGGCTGCCTCCTAATGGTTCTCACATGCATTTGCACTTTCTTTGTACCTGACTGCTAGTTGAACTTTTGCAGTGAAGAAATTAACTGGCGAGGTTACACTGTTCCATTATTAAGGGAACAGTAAAGCCACATCTTATCAGGTTGCCTCATTTATGGCATGCCCTGCACTAATTTCTGCAGCTGATGAGTTCAGAGTTTTACTGTTTACTCATGGTATGTCAAAAGGTCTTGCATTAATCAGGATTAAAAAAAATAGGGTGAGAATCTTGGGAGATGTCATCATCACTGCTATTTATTCTGAATCCAGATTGGTGCCCTTGAGGGGGAGGAAGTTCTTTACATTTCTTCCTTGAACCATTCAGGTATATTTTAATTAAATTAGACTTTTCAAAAACATGTACTCTATTACTGAAAGGAAGCTGTTGCAGGTAGTTTTGTAACATAAATATAGTTGCATGATTGTGAATGATTCTTGTTGATTAGTAGGATCAATATAAAACTTTTGTTTGCTACAGAAATATTTTATACACCGGTGAAAAGGCATAGTGTTACAAGAGACACAAATAACTAAGAGCTTATAAGCCAAATAATGTTTTGAAGCAGGACATGTAGTTTTGCTGGTGCAACTGAGTAGGTCTAGCTCTTGATCCTTTCATGGAAATAGTTTGTGACTTCCTTGACTTACCAGCTAGAGTATGTAACAGGATTAAGTATCTGAAAAATCGGCCTATCTTAGCCTTCTGATGGGGAAGATGATTAAGAGCAAGACCAAGAAATCCTTGTTTAACGGAGCTATCACTGTTCATGTGATCCCTGCCTATCCTATGTGGAAATGTAACTGTGAATAACTTCTTTGCCACTGTTAGATGAGTAGGACACTACTGTAGCAAACACATTTATGTCCTATGCCTTTTACACCACTGCTGAACTGCATTAATATCCTAGAAGGCTTGACCTGGGTAGCAACCAGATATTTTCCTCTTTTCCAAGTTCCTGTTCATTAGTAGGTAAGCTAAAACTCCAGCTTTTTTGAACCTGGATTTTAGGCCCTGCTGAATATAAAGCAGTGCCTTTGGTAAAGCTGCTTGTTGAAGTTGTACTGCCATGGATACTGTCTTGCGAAATTAGCTATTTCTGCTATTATTTACAAGATTAGCTCTCATTTGTAAAATTCCATAGAAGTATCCAGGTTCCTAGTAAACTTAAGTCAAAGTGATGGACAGAGACTTGCATTTATACAACTTTTGTAGGTTTCATGAAACTGCATTAGTATTGAAGTGCACATAGCTACAAAAATGCATCACAAGCTTAGTCAATGGCATTACTGTATCTCAAATTTTCTTTTTGACTAGGTTGAAAATGAGTAAAGATAGGTATAGGCAATATAATTAGAATAATAATTTCTATTTCCAGTAATTGTCCCATTTTTCCTCCAAAAGCTGTAATATCTGGACAATTACCACATAATTTTTTTCCTATGGGGAATTTCTGAGATGACTTGTGATGACTGCAGCTTTTGCTTTACTGACACCTTATAAAGTTCATGGATGTCACCCGCAACCTGGGGTGGTAGTGGTCTTTTTGTGTAATAGCCCTTAAGAGTAAATTCTCTTTCCTCTCATGAAAATTGTAATATATGCAACTGTATTCAATGCAGTTTGTAGTTGTCACAGTTATTTGACAAACTGCATTGTCATGATGCTGGGGGTGGGTGGGAATTCATTATTGTAGCTTCACTGCACTGCCACGAAAAGGTGAACAAGTCTTATGTCCCTAAATAAAGCTCATGTCTTCAAAGTTCTTCCTATTTCTCATCAAAAGTGAAAGGACCCTGTGAAGCAGTAACTGTCATTTCTGTGAACTTTATAAAATCCTACGTTTAAGACATAAATACAAGCAGTAAAAAGGGTATCTGTTATACATAAATAGACACATCTGAATAAACAGTCTCCCCTCCAAATCTGTTGAGAATGAATGGAGGACCTGAAAAATACAGCAACTGGACAATCACAAGTAACTGACAAGTTGTATAACACACATTACTTTGGGTCAGGTCCAAGGTTCTCTCTAAGGTGCATGCCTGCGCGCCTGTGCACACATCCACCCCTCTCTGTACGGGGCTCCTCCTCCACGCACCCACAGTGATCATTTTCAGCCCCTTTGGTTCCAGTTGCAACGGTACACGGGGGGGGGGGCAAAATTGCATGTACAAGGGGCAGAGCCCTATCCATCAAGGCTGAAAATTAGAGGGAAAGTTGGTCAGGTCCTATTGTGGAGCAAAAAAGGTGACTTCAGTAAGACACGGTGTGTGGCTCTGCAGTCAGGGCAGGCCTAGCAATTGCACATGAGCTTATGACTTTCATACTTTTACCTAGTGCATACACTGAAACACACAAGAACAGTATGCATTCTCACATGGTGTGTGTAAATGCATTTCTAGAAACGTCTTCCAATGTACATGGATTTTTTTTCTCATCAAAGGCTACTGGAGTTTTCTGTTCACATTTCTGTTTCTGCTAATAGACTTTCTCCAAGGCCTGATGTTACCAAGACCATCTGGGAACTGGAATCTGAAATGGAAAAGTGTAATTTTAGCTCATAAACTGGTATGGAGTGCATGGGAAGGTAAACTACATAAATCATAAGCAGAGGCCTAGAAGGACTAAAATGTAACACAAAGAATATAGGTAAGAATCCACAGCCCTAGAGTACTCCTGAAGTAAAGTGGTGCTTAAATGAACAATTGAACTCCATTCCCAGAATACATAAAAGTTATACTTTCAGATCAGTGGGGTGTGTGTGTGTGTGGGGGGTCTGCAGCACACCATGAGGTCTTTTGCTATATGGCAGCATATAAGTATTTTAATACAGTAATAAATAACTTCTGTCAATTAGTAGGCTGGCTGAGTCTGATGGGAACTGAAGCCCAACAATATCTAGAGGGCCACATGGTCCACATTTTTTTCCTTAGGTCAATTTTCTTCAGCCTTTACTACAACTCCCAGCATTCCTGACTGTTCATCTTGTGCCCTGAAGCTGTTGAGTATTAAAAGGCCAAAATATGTGGAAGGAACTATACTGAAGAAAGGGCTGTCTTAGACTTTGACTATTCCGCATACACCTTGCCGGGGTGTGTTGCTTCTGGTGCCTGCAGGCACTGATGTGTAAGAGCTTGTCTTCTGCTGTAACCAAGGAAACCACTACTTCAGCCTCAGTATCAGATCTCCCATACAGATGTGCTGCTTCCTGATTTAACGTTTGCACGTCACCTATTCTCCTTCCCAAAAGTTAATGGAAACTAGATTGTGTTCTGTGCGTAGATTTTAAAAATATTAAATTAATCCACCAGTTAGTTTCTCTGCAATATGGAGACAACAGTACTTCTCTACTTGGTAGGCACACAACAAATACTTGACAGAACAGAAGATACTTCACATGAAGCACATAGCACGAGATACGTTTTGAAGCCCTGAAGACAACTGCCTTTCTGGGTTAATGCTTTTCCCTATTTCTGCATCAAAAAAGGGTTTTCTGGCTGTTTAATCAGACTGTAGCAGCCCTACAGTTCTGTGTCGTAACATATCTATTTCTGAGGTTGATTAAAAACAAATAACACAAAAAAACTATCTGGCTATGGGAAGCCCACAAGCAGGGCACAAGTGTAGCAAATTAAATCTCCCAGTGACTGGTTTACAAAGGTTCACTGCCTCTGATACTGAATGCAACATCTATCCATCATTATTGGTAGCTGTGTTCTGGAAAACAAATCAGTTGCTGGGTTACATTCAGGTTTAATGTGAATGAACACTGGTATGGAAACAGGAGACACAAAAATTAACTATAAAGATTGGTAACTTTGTGGCCTTTTTAAAAATGGGTTTAGCGAAATGGTTCCCCAATCTCCCCTGCCCTAATTTCACCACCTCCTTGCAACCGAGGCCCAGTAGCCTTACTGCTCTGGCAGATCCAGGCGTTTTTCTCTCTGGCCATGACTTCTCGAGTCTCATTTTCCTCTTCTTCTTCGCCCTCAGAAAGAAGGTCAGAGATCTGCTGCTGCAGTTCAGGACTGATGTTGTTTTCGGCCAGGATCAGTGTCCGCAAAGCTGTCGGATAGTTTTCCACCATATCAAGAAGGATCTGAATTGAGTAAGAGTCACAAGCAACCGTAAAAGTGCTTAGAGGCCAGATAGCCGAGATAAAGAGAAAACAGGGCAATTCGGATCTAAATCAAATACTCTGGCTGAGAATTCAGCTTCTTTCAAAGCTCTTTATTTTACTTATAAATCACTGCATAGCTCTCACTACTCAAATCTGTATGAACTTTCATAAAGCTCTTAATTACAAAAAAAATGCAGCACTAAAAACAAAGTTCTTTCATTGTCACGAGTGTTTCTCCTTGTTTCTCTATAGGCAGACTTTTAAAAAGGTTTGCTTGGCTCTATAGCAAATAAGTCTCTATACCTGTCCACTAACAATACGTACATTATTTACCATAACTGTTGCCACATATTAGTATCATGCCCTTGAAAGGTTCCAGTGGGTAACCAATACTAACACCCATTTTCCATTTCAAAGAGACTTCCTATACATGCCAATTGTTACATCGTAATTAGATCAATGTTAAATTTCTAGAAAGGAAGCAAACACGAAGGAATGCAAGGTTCAGCTGGAATTTGGAACCAAACTGCTGAATCTTAGTGATACACTGGTGTTGGGACAACATATTTTGTCACTCATGAGGATGGAAGGCTGGCAGCAGAAGTGAGTTAGGGAGACCACTTAAAAACCCAATTCTATCTTCCAGCAGAGGAGAATGGCTAGGCATCTGCTGCTGCCCCTCCATTTTAGGTATTATTCACTACCTATAGCAATGGTTTCCCTCTGCCTGACAGAAAATACAGTCCTGCAGATCACCAGTAACTATAAGGTATGCTTTTGCAGAGGAACTGAGTACCTAATTAAATGACTGAGAGTGCATTGTTTATTTTGATTTAAGACAACATACCATTTTAGAATAGTCAAAGCTTTTAAAGACAAATATATTGTATACAACAGAGTTTACTTTTAAGTGCACCATGCCAGAGATGCCTGTGGTACAAATGATATTTTATCTAAATGTTCTACCTAGGAAGGCTGCAAACAGCATTGCCACACAGTTTGCATGGATATGTGTGAGAAAAGAGAACCAACTAGGACTGAATAAAATGAATTTTCTTTCAACGCCAAGCGTAGTAATTAGAATTAGATCCTTAGTAATAAAGCAAAAGCTGAATGTTTGGCAACTATCATGAAAATGCAGGTAGCACATTTAGCATCCATTCAGCATATATAATGTTTTATCCCTAGTTATCTCTGACTGTAACATAGAAAATCTTTAAAGTGTGCATGGGGGGGCAGTTGTTTTGGTCAGTAGATCCTCAGGATTCTTAAGAAAGGAAGAAAGAGTTCATTTGGGGTAAATTGTGTATAAGGTACTGCACTAATCTTCCTAACCTGGAAAAGGAAATGAAGGCAACAAAGGGCCCCGCTTTCCTTACCAAAGCTGATTGGTTGGTAAGTCCTGTTCCTTCCAAGTCCAAAACTTCTAGGGTACGACTGGATGCCACAGAGACTGCCAGCATTCCTGCTATCTGGTCACCTAGGGAGCAGAAAGCCAGGAGATGTCAGTAGACACCGCGCAGGCTAGGTTCCATGCATCCATAGCAACCAAATGGTCAGGGCCACTACAGCCCGTCTGCTGGTATCTCTCTCTCTCTCTCTCTCTCTCACACACACACACACACACACACACACAGCAGGACTCACATCCTCCCTTTTAAATAAGTGCCATGGACAGATTCAACAGGCACAGCTTTTCCCATCTCTTGATTAACATGCTACACCTGTTGAATTCCTGTTTACTACAGCATGAGTTGCTGGAGGAGGCATGTGTTTGCAGTTACAGCTTACAATTTCCTTTTCCTGCAGGGTGGAATAGGAAAAATTGTCCTACTGAACAGGGGACGAATGCCATTCCCTCAGAATTGACACACACACACCCAAATGCATAGATAACTGGTTCTTTGTCATAAGGCATTGCTTTATGGTCAGAAGACATGGCTTCTGCCAAATTAACTGCTGATCCCTCTCTTTTTAAAAGCTAATCTGTGACAGAAAAGAGGGAGAACAGGAAAAAGCCTCACCCAGTTTTGAGGGGGCAGGACTGGGAATGGGGGGGGCTGAGGAGCTGCTCCTGGTTTCCTTTCCTTGAAGCAAGATGGGAAGAGAAGAGCTTGCCTGGTCTAGTCTCTGTCTCACCAGCTGCCAAGTCTGCTTAGGCAGCGCAGCGGTAGAGAGTAAGTTTCCATGGCAACTACTGCTGGAGCTCCTCTTCTCCTTTCTAATTTTTGAGGAAGCAGCTGGGGGTGGGGAGGAGCATGTTAGGACTACCAAGCCCATTGAAAAGGCCATACAGGTTAGTGCAGAGAAGTGGACACATAATGTCCAGTACAAACAGGTTTCCACATAAACAGAATCCGCCTCTCATAAACTTAGATTAGAAATGCAGAATATTCTTCAGCATTTCCTCACAGGACAAGGTGCGAGCAAGTCTCATCCCTCTCAGAACACAGTGTTAGGCCATCAGGTTATTGCTCCTGACCAGATCATTTTTTTTCAAAGTTAAAAAGTGTGTACCTTTGCCATTAAGCAGAATCATACCAACCCTAGCAGGAAGGGTGGCCACCCAGCAGAACAGTGCATAGCTACTACCACCACCACCATCTGATTGACATCTTGAAGAATATGGACCAAACAATGGACTGATTCAGGATAAGGCAATTTCCTATGTTCCCTAACGGTGACAATCCACAGAGGGGAGCTACACTAGCAGACTAGCTACACATCAGTTGAATTTGTTCAAGATTCAGATTATATAGCTCTTATCAACCCAACAAAATCCCTATCAAGAAAAAAAAAGAAGAAAGACAAACACCCATGTATCTGTGCTCCTCTCACCCAGGGGATTGTAGTCCAGGTTCAACACTCGCACCTGGGAACTGTGAGCCACTGCAATAGCCAGGCGCCCCCATCCTTTAGCTGTAATACCAGGGTTAGCACTGAGTGTCAGTTCCTTCAAACCTAGGTGTAAGTAAGAAAGGTAAGCTTCAACCACTATTTGCAAATTGCTGAATACAGTACTTTACTAATAGAATATAGGCTGCTATTTGCTCCATCTGCAAAATGATGGGCACAAACTATGACCTTCACTCTACATTTTAGGCTCAACCTCATGAGCATTACTGCTGAAAGAAAGGACTTTAAAAAGAGTTACCATAATTGAGGTGGCACCTACTTTCGTGGTTAAAATGTGATAATAAACTAAGTAGTGGGTTCCTCCAATGTTTGCGTGGGCAAGTGTAGCTGTTGGACTGCAACTTCCATCAGCCCAATTAGCCACAATAACCAGTTATGAGGAACACTGAAAGCTGTGGTCCCCTCCTGTCTAATAATAATTCCACTTTCCACACTTCGTTTTAATGGTACTCTGATGTCTGCCACCTGAGGTGTTCTGCTTCAGTGGTAACAGTATTAGTCTCTTTTAAAGAAGCAAACATCTTATTGGTAGTCTTCAGGCATCTGACTGTGCGAACCAACCAACAGGATGGTTAGGGCATATAAAAGGAAAAACCAATCAATGTGGTATAATATGCATTGCCTTGTAGTTCAGGGGGCATTTTCTTATAGCCAGGGGAACTGCTGGCAACTACACTGTTAATCAACTTGTTCATATATTACATTTGAATTCTGGCTAGCACTGAACTTGAAGACATTATTGTCTTCCCTTTCGTAACTGGCTGAACACTACCCCAAACACAGAAATAGCAGGTTCTAAAAAAGGAGTAAGTGCAAAGAGGAGCAAAGAATAGCAGACAAAAAGCAAATTCTTTAACGTGTCAGGTTAATCAGGTCTGAAAGATTAGACAGGCACAGGTTTATAACATTAGTTTGTAAAGGGCCATCTTATTTCTAAGCACTACGACAGTTATATTCATCCAACAGATATGCAAAGCCCTTAATTGTTCATTCATTCATTCATTGGATTTTTACCCCGCCACTCTAGACCATGTCTACTCGGGGCGGCTTACATAGATGAAACAGAACAATATAAAATATATAAAATTATAAAATTACAGTTCAGGGTTTGCTCTTAAGCCTAGTGGATGTGGATTTAATACAGTAATGAAACTGGGTGCCTACCTGACTTGGCTCCATCAGGAGGCAAAAGTCCACATATCAAGTTGATACCTTCATCTCCTAGCATACAGTCCCCCAAATCCAAAGCCACTAGAGAGGGATGGATGGAAAGTGCTGGGTTGAGGACAGCCAGGCCAGCATCTGTTAGGGGACTCCCATGGAGGCTGTATTGATTGAAAAGGTTAATCATAAAACAAACTCCACTTCCATTGAATTGCAAATGACCAGCTTGCCCTCCTACATGTATTTATTCAGAAGGAAGCCACACTGAGTTCACTAAATTTATTCACAGGAAAACAATATATTCACTAAAGTGTTGTATGATTCTTTTGATTTAGGTATAGCAGACTTTTTATGTTTGGAAACATAAGAGATATAAGAAATATCCCCTCATCTCCCTCCTGGGACAGCCAATATTAGACATTAATTTATCTTTATCTGGGGGAAAAAATTACATGAATGACAAATAATACTGTCTAGTTAAATGGGACCCTCCTGTTTGAAAATCAAGAGTGAAGAAAGATTGGGGCAGGATCCAGAAAGAGAACAGCGTAAACATACTTAGTGTAGATTAGTTAACTCCTATGTACCATACAAATTATTTAATTTAAATTTAATCTCAGCCAAAATGTCCAGAGCAGATAAATTAAAAGCAAAAATACCTTGTGCGTATCATGTGCCACCAAACTGGAACTGACTTATAGCAACCCTAATAAGGTCTTCAAGATAAGTTAGATTTTTAAGGAGTTTCACCCTCACAATAGGTTTCCACGACCAAGCAAGAATTTGAACCCAGGTCTCTGGGGTCTTAGTCCATCACTCTATCCACTACCCTACACTATCAACAACAACTTTGGTTATTAGAGAACTCTCATACAACCCTGTTGTTAGCTTCAAAAACCCACCATAGCAAATTTTAAAAAATACTGCATGGGTCCACTTTAGGAACTAAAATAGAACATATTGCATCATATCACTCAAAACTCCAATGCAGATTATCATCACGCTGCTCCACATAACAAATGAGGCTACAGATATAGAAACTGGACTGTTTTCTCCCTTATCAATGACAATTACTGGAAGCATTTCCATACTTTACAGCAGGAACAGGGAATCTGTGGCAGCCCATATACTTTGGCACCCCAGTCCCCATCAGCCCTAACCAGCATAGCAATTAGTGACGGACAGTCCAGCAACATCTGGATAGCCACAAGTTCTGCACTGTCACTTTACTATCATATTCCATCCTCTTTCCTTTCCTTCTTGATAGATTAGTACCTCTGAACAAGCAAAACATAGGATTTTCAGTGCAGGACCTACCCAAACAAAGCAGAGGACCTCTCCCTGAAACCTACTTAAGTCAAGCAGGTACTTACAACAAAGACTGGACAGAACGGTTAGTCTTCAGGGCTTCAGCCAGTTGTTTGACCCGATTGATACTGGAGACAATCCCCAAGTTGAGGTTCAGCTGAGCCAAGGAATGAGACTCTGCTACTCCTCTGCAGATCCTGCCGAAATCCCGGTCAGAAAGCTGACAACCCCGGAGTGAAAGCAGTTTGATGGAGTTCTCCCGCAGGCTCTCACAGATATCCCGAATCTCGGCACTTGATAAAGCCTCCCCAGAGATCTGGATCGATCCTGGTAACATCTTTATAGCTTTGTATGTAAGCAAACACCTTCCAGCAGCTTGCTACAGGAGCCACTGTGCTAATCCGTATTTGTGCAGACAAACAATATGCAATCCAGATCAGTGCAAGAAATACTTTGGAATCTGGAGGGGGAAAGAAAAGCGGTAAGCAGCTTCTTAGGGGCTGTGCAAACAAAGTTGGAGGCCACGGTGCAACGTGAAGGAAAAAAAATAGAGCTGGATGTGCTAATCGGATCAGGCCAAAAGGCAGTGTGCAATTCAGAACTGCAGCTTTAAAACCCTGATCCAAGTGGAAACGTCTATGCAATTTAGATGCATAAAGGTAAATGCTGCGCAAATCTAAATTAAGGAAGGCAGACGGAGAAGAATGATGCGTTCGGTCCAGATCGGTCTAAAGCCGAGCGGTGCGCAGCCCACAAGGATGACTGGAGAAGGTGAGGAGACCGATAACCAGCCCTGCCACATACCAGGCAACTGGACATTCCAGGCACACGACACGTACATCCAAATGGGATTCGGAGTCTATAGAGGAGAACCCGGGCGAGTACGTATTTTGGTTTCCGCACAACCAGGAGAAGCTGTAGATGGATCCGCCGGGGAAGGGTGGTCGTGGGGGGCACTGGCTGCCGCGTCCTGTGGCTCTAGTCCTCTACCCGGAACCTTTCCCCTTCCCCGGCGTCTTCCTTCCCATCTACGGCGCGCTTGGAGCCCAGACCACTGGCTACCTGCCGCCGCCGCTTCTGCTTCCGCCGCCGCACCTGCTGTGCGGGTTCTCCCTGTAGTACGAGAGGCAAGGACCTGCCCAAGCCCGGCCAGATCCGACGACTCCGGCTCTGCCTCCTCGGGCTCCGTTTACCGCGCCGGCGGCTCCCGCGGCAGCGCCCAATTCATCTTGCCGCCGCCGGAGGGGCAGAAGTCTCCAGCGGGCGTCGCAGAGATCCGGACGGCGATACCTCCTCCCTTCTTATACCCGAGGGAGCGGGAGGAGGGGGGGAAGGAGCCAGTCTGGCTTGGCGCTGCGCCGGTTCCTATGGCCACAGACTCCGGCACTGCAGCCTCCGCCTCTTGCCAAGCCAGACCACGCGGCGGCGGCGGCGGCGGCGGCGACCGCCATCGCCACCTCCTTTGCTCCCCGCAGTCCCGTGCAGGTTGCTCTGCCCCCTGGCGGGAGCCGTCGAAAAGCCGCCTTCAGTTCCTCCTGGTGGAGCAGAAGGGCGGGGGTGGGGGGCTGCCTGCTTCAGGGGACCACCGGCAGGCGCTGCCTCGGTGGTTTTATGGAAAGGCCGAGACCCACTGGTGGGGACTGCTAGATTCCTCGCCGAGGCCGGGTTGGGGGCCCCTCCATAAATAAGGAGAAGGCCCCGCAAGTCTGACATTAAAGTCCTGAGCAGACGAGGGTTGTGGTGGAGAACGATGAGAAAATGAACTCTGCAGATGCCCAGAGGCACTCTGTCACATTCTTTTGCCCCTCCGTGAGCAGAAGTCTGACCTAGAAAGCATTTTCTAAAGCTGAGCCCTAAATAGAAAAACTGACCACAATCTTGTCTGTTCAATTGGCCAAGAATGAGACAAGGCAGGCTGGGCCCAAGAGGGGAAAAGCCTGGTTTGCTATCCCCAACAGAGCCCCTTTAGAGCACTAGTTGTAAGGGAGATGCTGCCTTTTTAAAAAGAGTTGAGAAATGCACCTGGAATGGTGAAACAGTGGAAAATACTACCTCAGTACATGAATAGGTAGCAAACATTTAGGGCAGTGAGCAGGCCAAGACTCAGTCCTAGTATACATTAAATTTAAAAAAAAGACATCAAAAGTATCTCAAATCCAAGTGCTACTAACTCAGGATCAGGCAAAGCCAGGTATGCCTTTCTCTGAGAGGGCAGATGTTTAGGGGATAGTGGTGCCTCCCCACAGCATGGCTGTTGCTCTCTGTTGAAAAACAGAGCTATGAATGCCTCGGGACCTGTTGTGGGCCCTCTAAACGAGCCTGTGGCCTCAGCATGAGTGGAAGATGTTTTCCTCCCTCATGAGTCAGATCAAGCTCCTGTTTTGGTGGCTCTGGCCTCTGTTTACCCTTTCTTTCTTTGTACCAGAGTGTTGCACAATGTAAAATATGGATGTGTATGAAATATAGGTCAAATTAAAAACAAATTGCAATGTTAAGATAATTAGACTATTTTTTTTGTACCAGAAGTGGCCCACGCATATAGTAGAGGGACACTGAACAAGCCTCCCCAAAGAGTATAAAAGTACGTACAGTATGAACAAGCCTCCCCAAAGAGTATAAAAGTGTAGTATTGCAAATACACTCAGGAATTCCCTGGGCAATGCTGTGCAGCTGCCAGTCCTTCACTTCCAGGAGCGTTGCCTACATTTATTAATGCTCCTGGATTAGGGAACGGCAGTCAAAGGGCAATAAGTGTTTATACTATGTATCTCAAAGGATTACATCTTTTAATCCATTCCTCATTTTACCTTGACTTGCTGTATAAGTAGAAACCTAGATGAATGGTATAGCTGGCTGAGGATGGTGGTGGCTGTAGTCCAACACAAGCACAGGGTACCAAATTAGGGGCAAAAGTAGCTCTACAGTAATTATAACCAAACTAAGCATGTGTGACTGAAAGAACTTTGTATTCTGTATTTCTACCTTTGCATCCTCTGATCTCTGTTGTTTTCCTTATGTTGAAAGGTAGATTGTAAGTGCTTCTGGGCAAGAAACTGTCCTCTTTTACTCTGTGAAATGCTTTAGCTATTGATAATACTAACTCTTGGAGCAGGCCTCTGGTGGTGATAAATATTCTGACAGAGGTACTACCACTTCCTAAGCCCTGTAAGCAAAATGCATCCAGGTTAAGAAACTGAAAGAGGAGGCATGTTTTGGCATAGCTGAGGAGGACTTCTGGAGGGGGCATTGAAAAAGAAGCAGCAGGCTTCCTATTCTGTGGATCCTGGGACATTTCTACATGCCTCCCTAAATGTCATCCTCCCCACCAGTGGAATATCTAAATTTAATAACTTTCTGGGGATTTATGAGGTGCCTGTATTAGTGTGTAATCCAGCCAGCAGATTTGCCCTGCCACTGTCAAAGTTGTATTTATGCCATCTCCATTAACTCATTGTGGACAGAAGGAAAATGAACAAAAGTAGCATCTTATGGGAAAACAGATACGAACAGAGTGCCTTTGACACACACATGACAGTAAGGATTTGCTTATGTGCATACATAAGTATGTTGTAACAGATACACTTAAAGGATAATTAATGGCATGAGCATATCCCTCTTCCAGAGCCCTTTGAGGAGGAAAATCTTATAAATATGGTGTCAGAGATTTATGTATGCTGGCACTACATAACCTGTTTTCCCAAAAATAAGACCTAACCTGAAAATAAGCCCTAGTATGATTTTTCAGGATGCTCATAATATTTATAAGCCTTACCCCAAAAATAAGCCTTAGTTAAGTCAAACCCCGCCCTCCACCATTGTGCAGCCACCAGAAGAAGTTGACATGACTGTATTTGAATAAATGTATGTTGTTGTGCATCAAAAAATTAAAACATCCCCTGAAAATAACCCCTAATGCATTTTTGGAGCAAAAATTAATATAAGACCCTGTCTTATTTTCAGGGAAACACGGTACAAGCAAAGTTGAGCTTGGGGCTGCTAATTTCGACTGGCTGTGCAGGAAGAGGACTTTAAATGTGTCTTTTTGTGCTGAGAAGTACATGAATGGGAATAAATCACATGTTCATATCTGAGACATACAGCAATGGAAGCTGTCTGCAGTGAGTCAGGTCTATCCCAAGATTGTCTGCATTGACTGGCTGTGATTCTCCCAAGACTTTGAGTCCTACCTAGAGATGCCAGGGATTTACTTATGTGTTTTTGCATGCAAAGCAGATAATCTTTTAGTGACCTAAAACTGGCAAGGGATGTGAAACATAATCGGAGAATGTTCTTTGGTGGAATAATAAAATGAGGCTCAGCTAAATGGTTGGAATCCACAATAGTGTAAAACAGCTTTCTCTGGCCTGGTATTGTCATGCTGTGTTAGGATTACAAAATTGACTGTGGATGAAAGCAGCTGTGATCCAACGTATCTGGCAGACACTAGGAAAAAAGGAGGGGGAACAAGACATCTCTTCAAGAAAATCCAAGAAATCAAAGGGAAATTCAAGGCTAGATTAGGAAAGCTGAATGACCAGCAGGAAAGCAGACTGACCAGGAGAAAATCAAGAGAATGTGA